TGATTTTTTTTGAGATCCAGGCAGAACCGTCCTTATTGGATTAATACCCAATATGCTGTATTTGTTGCTGCTTTTAGCATGACTGCCAATACATTAGCAGGAAGGTATTCAATTTCGTATTGTTTTATGATACCGAAACAATCTGAAAATGTGACTGCATTTAACAACAATTCTTTTATGCTATTTTAATTGTATGTTGATATAATAATTATGTATTTATTGTAGCAAATCCCTTATTAAGGTTTGCAGTCGTTTTATTAATTGAGAGAAGGCCGTTTGTAAATCTGTTAAACGTACGTGACAGCAGGTTAACCGCGATATTACTTATTACTTATATTATGATATGGTTTTCGTTTTAACGTATCGACTGCAAATTTGTTCTTCGACGATAGCAGTAACAATGCGAGTTACAGTCCTGTTGATTATCAACTAAATACGCAGTTGTAAGTGGGCCAAGGCTAATTGCAGCACTATGCGGCGCTTACTGTCGTTGCTCTTACATCTCACCTGCTCTGGTATAGCTACAGCAGAAAACCATGCTGACCCTGTTGTTCGCAAGTCATGGATTTTTGCGACGAAGCAACGTTAGGTAAATTCTTTGCTCAAAAAAGTAGCAGTAAGGAAAAATTTTGTCTTTCTCAGAATTCGTACCCGGCGTCTGCATAGTACTAGCCCACCTTTTGGCTATTGTGCCATTGCGTCCCATTGTCCTAATGTGGTCATTTAAATTTCAGATCGTGATAACGGTAGCCCTTGGATTTGATAACTACTTGGTTATGCGACATGGTCTGGGGTATATACGTGAAGTCTCATGCGAAACTAAACCTTATTGCGCCAACAAACCGATCAGTGGATTTGACCTTGCCTGCTATTTCTGCTGTGACATTACTGCTCCTGGCGATTCAACGAAAGGCCGAACTTTGGACCAGCAGTGCTCTGTAACTAGGCCTGGTTTGTCGTCAGTGGCAGCCGGCAACGCGGTCGAATTAATGGTATCCATTCTGCAACATCCTTTGAAGTAATGCACTCTTCGAATATGAGATTTGTGCTTTATGTAGTGATTGAATGTTGCCAAATTTGTTCTCCTCACGTAACTAACTTATTCTTTTGTACCTCGTGTT